GTGGCAGACTCAATCACGTTTCTTATTTGAAACAAACTTTATGTTAAAGAAATTTAGAGTTGTAGATCGAGTACAACGTATGTAAATTGTTCAGAAGCAAAGGTAATTTTGTTTTGGTGACGCACAAACAAAAGGCCTCAAAGTTCGACCAAGTCGAATGACAAAAGCTCATTTTTCCGCATTGCCTACATCCCCTAAAAGTGTGTTCTTGAATGGCATTTCTTATTTAATCATCAATGCAAGTTGCATTTGAACTAATGCCAGTTGCAGTTCATATTGGAAAGAATATTCTCGATTACACTTAGAGCCGATTTATTGGTTAGATTTCCTAGATATTTTACGTGTAAACAACTTCGTCCGTCGGGTGGCTACACGATTATCTCCAAACACACGTTGGCGCGCCGTTTGTTCTAAAGATACACACCGGCGTCACAGCAGCAGCAGCAGTAACATTTCACGGCGTTCTGCACGCAGATTGTGTGGAAGTGATGACGGCGGGGTGCGAGTGTTTCCCGTATTGCTGATAAGGACAGGTTTGAGACCGCACGCACGCGAGATGGTGATGAGCCGCGTAAATTAGTGATGAGTGGGGAGGCAGCAGGCCCTAATGGGCGGAGTGGCGCGCGGGAGAGAACAGAGCCCACCTAAACCAGCCCGGTCGAGCAAAATGCGTCTCTCTCTCTCTCTCTCTCATCGATTATGCACATGAAAGAGCGACGGCGCGGAGCCTCCCGCTCTCGCTCTCTCTCTCTCGCTGTCTCTCTCGTCTCCCTGGTATTTGCACAGCAGAGCAGCTCGGCGTGGCACGGCCGGTCCGGCACGCGGGGACGACGGGGGGTGCAGGATGGCGCGTGGGACTTCCCTGCTCCGAGAAAAATAAAATAAATATCAAACCGGGTGGGCTGAGGGGAGGGGGGACCAGTTCCTACGAGAAACGCATTACGCGCAGTGTGCGCGCGCCAGCCCCGCTTACTCAAACGTCAGTCGTGTGGAAATGTTGGAAAGTATAACAGCATTGCAAAAGTAAATTTGAAAAAGAATGGAAAGAAAAGGGAACCCCGCGATGACACATAATAAAGGACATGATGTTTTTTTTTGTTTTTTTTTTTTTTGTATGTCCTACGCGTATCGACCTCAGTATTCGAATTTACCGAGGTAGCAGCAGAAATGAGCCAGCACGAGTAAAAGAGAGGCACAGAGAGGGAGCAGGAGAAAAAGAGCTACAGCGAGCGAGAGGCAGGGAGGGAGATAAAAAAAAACAACAGATGCCGCCGGAAAGTGACAGCTTGCCGCGCTATTTCAGACAGCAATAACAGCAAATACGTCTGGTACTGACAAGGGTACTGCTGCTTCGGACCATCATGGATATGCATGTAGCCTTTTTTCTGCCATCCGTCCCCGTCGCCCGGACGCGGCGATAGACGAGGAATGGGAGGCGAAAGGATCGCTCGCGCGAGTTTGACAAGAGTCAAAACATACTGCACTGCAGTCTGGAGGGTGTCGTCCGGTCGATGCCCGAGCACTTTTCGGCTCGCCTCCTAACCCCGCCGCCCGCCCCCGCTCCGCTCGGCGCTCTGCCCCATTGGCCTCGCCATCGTTAAACGGCGCGGAGCCGATCAGTAAAAGGGGCGCGCTATACTAACCGTAATCGGCGGGAACAAGGAAAGCCACTCGCGCGGCCGCGGCGGCGCCTCCACTCCTGGTCAGCGGGCACCTTCTAATTAACGCCCGCACTCCATCACCGACCCGC